TTGGAGTTTTGTGTAATGACGTCATAAAAATTAAAAAATGCGCAATGTGTGGCGCTTCCGCGATCTGGTTGTCAGTCGAAGTTGTAAAGACTGACGGCACTGTTAAGAATTTGATACTACTGTTTTGAATATCGTGTCCATATATTTGAGCATTGCTTTCATTGCTATGTCTCTCGCTGGCGATAAATGTGCTAAGTTTTAATATGACAATTCTGTAAAACGAAAAAGTCCCACAGGGTGATAGACTTCAACGTAATGTAAATACAAGCGCAATTAAACAAAAATCGTGGCAGATGAAGTGAGAGAACAGAACAGAGCCATTTTTTTTTTCATTGTTTTGATGGCATATTTTTGGTTAATAAAATTAAAAAAATTGTGCTCACTCTCTCTATATATGAATGACGCCGTTGAGAAGAAAAGTAGTAACTCGGGGTCTGAAGTTATCCGCTATTAGGAAATATTCTCAAGCTGTGTTTCGACAGGGAGCGTACCCTTGGAGCCGTCTTTATTCGGTGCTCCCGAAGTATGTACACCAAGATAGCGCAGAACCTGAACACAGTATGTGTACCAAGTAAAGATTATCAAGTTGTGTGCCATCTGGTGTACATACTTATGGAGCGCCCTTTATTCTTACAGAAGTCAACGTAAGCCTCGATCTATGGGGTTAATCAGTGGTGGGATTTAGGGGGAGCAACTCTCAAATAGAAAAGATTCGGTATCTGACAGGGAACGGCGAAGGGGTTTCCAACGGCCACTAACACTAATGCCAATAATGGTCTGCATTGAGCAAACATAAAAATGTGAATTGTTCAAGACCCTCACTGCCCAGTGGCAAGGAAATTTAAATAGTGAGTGAAATAAAATTCTTAGAGGAGTTAGCTTTGATGAAAAAATCTCTCCTGGAGATCTCAAATTGCGCATGTCATCAGTGAAACAAAAAGCAAATCGGCAGTTGCTGCCAAGGTATCCCAATGTGTTAATCAATCAGCTTTATTAGCAATATTTCAATCATTATTACCCAGCCACATCCGATACTATTGCTCAGTATGGCTCCATATGAGCAAAACACTCGTCTCTAAATTGCATTTATTTTATAGAAGGCATCAAACGCATTTATTTTTAGACAATATAGTCTCAAATTAACATAGTGAGCACAAAAACACAAATTAATCAGTTATTTCTCAGCGAGAAATTTACCGAAAACGTCAAGAAAATTAAATGAATACAGTATGTTAATAGCATAGTGAACAGAAATATTACAATTAGTCTTTTTTCAGTTTATGTAGTTGTGTATTTGAAACAAAGGCAATATTATTTATAAAAACAGAACTTTCGACACTAACAGATTTCTGAAAAAAAAACTAATAAATATTATTTATTAAATTAACTTCAATATCTAATTCACTTTCCTATGAATTTCTTCCGAAATCCTCATTCTCGAAAATTGACTTTTCTTCTGTAAGTGTACTCTGTTTTTTGCAGTCGACACGAAAACAAAATTCTGTGCAATTTAGGTTGTTTTTGACGCACATGCATAAATCATTTTGACACCTATTTTTCTTACAATTGCAGTCTGCCAACTCAAGAACCATATGGTGAACCACGGTCTCTCGTCCGGTTACCTTTCGATTTCGGGTATGTGGGGGAAGCCGTAACCGACCAGCGGTTACGTGAACCACCCAACGGCGGCGAGGAGTCCAGCAATCCTCTCGCACATAACTAACCCCGCATGGGATTGGAACCTGCGAACCCACGCAGAGTAATCAGAGGTGCGGTGGCGAGCGTACTCCTAACGCTTAGCACGATGAGCCACACCGCCGTGCCAATCTTCTACCCATCCAACATAACGCATGCTATCGTCGCTGCTGCTATAAGCGCTATACCTGTAAGAATAAAAAGTCTCGAAGAAAAGCGTAAAGCTATATGAGAATCATAACAGTTGCAAACAGCTTATATTATGGCCTATTCATATTGAAATTCTTCTGCACTTGAAACTTCTCACCAAACTGATGTTGGAAGACTTGAAATTCATTGAGTTTTTTTTCAACTATGAAGATCTTTTGAGGTAAACGAGGCATTAATAAATAAAGCTGAGGAATTTGTTCTATTACTGTATGGAGAGGATATGGAGAATGTAAATGATACCAGGGCACGTCTGTTCAAAACTGGCAAACATATGAATTATACTTTTCCACCCAACAATGATTCACTAAAGAAGCATGTTCTGAGGGCAAATTACCAGGCCGGAATTCATCACTGTAGCCCAGGACCAAAGCCAATTATTCCCCTACTTATTGGCCATGGATGGGTTTTTGATGATGGTGTTTTGCCGGTTGAATTGATTGATCCACTTACAGCCCCCAAATCAGTTCTTGAGTTGTAAGAAAAATAGGTGTCAACATGATTTATGCATGTGCGTCAAAAACAACCTAAATTGCACAGAATTTTGTTTTCGTGTCGACTGCAAAAAACAGAGTACACTTACAGAAGAAAAGTCAATTTTCGAGAATGAGGATTTCGGAAGAAATTCCTAGGAAAGTGAATTAGATATTGAAGTTAATTTAATAAATAATATTTATTAGTTTTTTTTTCAGAAATCTGTTAGTGTCGAAAGTTCTGTTTTTATAAATAATATTGCCTTTGTTTCAAATACACAACTACATAAACTGAAAAAAGACTAATTGTAATATTTCTGTTCACTATGCTATGAACACACTGTATTCATTTAATTTTCTTGACGTTTTCGGTAAATTTCTCGCTGAGAAATAACCGATTAATTTGTGTTTTTGTGCTCACTATGTTAATTTGTGACTTTATTGTCTAAAAATAAATGCGTTTGATGCCTTCTATAAAATAAATGCAATTTAGAGACGAGTGTTTTGCTCTCATGGAGCCATACTGAGCAATAGTATCGGATGTGGCTGGGCAATAATGATTGAAATATTGCTAATAAAGCTGATTGATTGGGATACCTTGGCAGCAACTGCCGATTTGCTTTTTGTTTCACTGATGACATGCGCAATTTGAGATCTCCAGGAGAGATTTTTTCATCAAAGATAACTCCTCTAAGAATTTTATTTCACTCACTATTTAAATTTCCTTGCCACTGGGCAGTGAGGGTCTTGAACAATTCACATTTTTATGTTTGCTCAATGCAGACCATTATTGGCATTTGTGTTAGTGGCCGTTGCAAAACCCTTCGCCGTTCCCTGTCAGATACCGAATCTTTTCTATTTGAGAGTTGCTCCCCCTAAATCCCACCACTGGTTAACCCCATAGATCGAGGCTTACGTTGACTTCTGTAAGAATAAAGGGCGCTCCATAAGTATGTACACCAGATGGCACACAACTTGATAATCCTTACTTGGTACACATACTGTGTTCAGGTTCTACGCTATCTTGGTGTACATACTTCGGGAGCACCGAATAAAGACGGCTCCAAGGGTACGCTCCCTGTCGAAACACAGCTTGAGAATATTTCCTAATAGCGGATAACTTCAGACCCCGAGTTACTACTTTTCTTTTCAACGGCGTCATTCATATATAGAGAGAGAGAGCACAATTTTTTTAATTTTATTAACCAAAAATATGCCATCAAAACAATGAAAAAAAACTGGCTCTGTTCTGTTCTCTCACTTCATCTGCCACGATTTTTGTTTAATTGCGCTTGTATTTACATTACGTTGAAGTCTATCACCCTGTGGGACTTTTTCGTTTTACAGAATTGTCATATTAAAACTTAGCACATTTATCGCCAGCGAGAGACATAGCAATGAAAGCAATGCTCAAATATATGGACACGATATTCAAAACAGTAGTATCAAATTCTTAACAGTGCCGTCAGTCTTTACAACTTCGACTGACTACCAGATCGCGGAACCGCCATACATTGCGCATTTTTTAATTTTTATGACGTCATTACACAAAACTCCAAATTGAAAATCGAACCCCCATATACCCATAAATTTTTTTTAAATAAATAAAAGTATACGCTTTTTGGTGACAGCAACAATCTTTAATCACTGAAAATTTCAAAGCAATTGGCCAAGTAGTTGAGAATTTTTTCACAAGACAAATACTAACAACAACATAATAACATGCCTGCTTATACATGATACAACATCCATTTAACCAAGGATATTCCTGACATTCCAAACTGCCAATTATTCAGAAAACTTCAAATATTTATATATGTGACTGAAGTTGAGATTGATTACATCTGGGCTTTAAAATTCAATCACGGGAAAATGTTTGTTTGCTAACTCGCGGGACTTTATAAAAAATATTCACTGCTATAAAGACGCCGGAAGATAGGACTTTGCAAATCCCAATCATACTGAGCGGTATGTACGTCGATGTATATATATATCAACACTCATCAGCTCTACCCAACTCATCATACACAATAATTGGCGATTTCTTTGCAATTCAATCACCCTTCGCATCCCGTGAGGGATAATTGTGTGCAAGAGGATTGCTGGACTCCTCCCCGCCGTAGGGTGGCCGCCTAATTTTTTCTCTTGTGTATCTGAAACAAATAACTGGCTAACTAATCCTATACTTGACATGGATTGGTTTTCTGGTAACCGGCAGCGGTCCACTATGACTCGACGCTTTTCCTCTCCCTGGATAGGTAGGAAATTTCTTTTCTCAAACTCTACCACCCAGCATGGTAACAAAGTAAAACATCAGACCAAGAAAATGTTTTTCCATGTATTCAGCAAACATATAGCACCTATTAAAAAGTTAAACAAAAAATGACACTTCTGTCAGACAAGACTGATAAAACCTGAAATATTACTAGTCATATTATAGAGTTATAGAAATATTTAATTTTCACCTCACTATCCAGTCTGTTCAGTTAGATCCAGGGTATCAGAATCTGGAATATTCTATAGAATTTTTCTGCAAAGAATATATTTAGCGTCTTCTTGCACAGCTTATATGTAACTGGCAGGTATATGGAAGTACATACATTATCAAACAAAGATATACGTTTTCAATTTGACCTAAAACGGCCATGAATAATATTATATTAGAATCTGATAATGCCCAATCGCACTATGAATTGATGATACAAAAAAGATTAAACAGTCGTATTCAGGTTTACTTCGAAGTTATGTTTCGTTTTTCATGCAACACATTATGTATAAAAATTCTGCTTCAGTAACATTTGCTTCATTAATTCAGTAACTAAATGTGTATGAATTCGATAATAAAAATAAATCCCTTGGCAAGGACTCCAGGATGCAGTCGTCTCAAATCATACATTGTCACTTCTTAACTATAAATGCATGAAAATATTCAAACCAATACTTTTGTCTTTTGCTTATATGAATAGGATTTATATATTTATCCCGGGAGAGGGGGCCGATAAGACGGCTTAATCATATGGTGAACCACGGCCTCTCGTCTGGTTATATGCTAACCAAAAAAGCCTTCTCCATGTATCATTTGCAGTGACAATATTCATTTAAAGTACAGTGATTTTGCTGCGCTTTTTTTACATTTATTCAACTTTTTTATTAAAATGGCATGTTAAATGAGTTTTTGGAAAGGGGCAATGGCAATAGATCATAAAAGTTTTAGAACCTCTGTATTAACACATTTAGTACTAAATTACAATATAGTGTTCTATGCGTTATTGCTAAATTTCAGTGTCTAACTGATATATATATATATATGTAAGCTTCAATAAAGTATGTTTACGCAGGAGCAGCAAAAAAATTTTAAATAAATAAAATAGTTGCAATGAATACTAATAATAGCAGTGATATGGAAATTATAAATAGCACTATAATATAACTATAGCATATCTACTGAAAAAAAACTTTTTTGAAATATTTGGCCATGGTAAATAAAACAGGGGTTATTTTTTTTCAGAGCAGGATCTGCCGTTTTCTGCAGCTTTGTGATGTAATATATTAAACAGGTCTTGAGGTAGACCTAAAAATACCTTTACATGTTCAAACCACTTTTACTCACACATTGTATTTACATAGCAATGAAGGATTGAGTATAATATTGTTTCAATGTGTCTTGTGTTATATATGCAATCTCAAATTGGCTCAAATATAGTACAGTAACGTAATTATTCAATGAAATATTGGAGAATATTATAAAAACTTGATGGTGGAGATGGTAAGCATGACATGGCAGGTTATGGACATTATTTACCAATCACCTCATAACTTCTAATTAATTAACGGAGTACCAACACATGTGGGGCACTACACACTGGAAATATAAAGCTATGCTTCTTCACTAATTCCTCTAAAAATATTAGATAATGTACCTTATTGCAGCTTAAACATTAAAAAAATGGCAAACAATATGAAAATTGTGTACTGCTTGGAAGACAATTCATTATAAACGGGATGTACTTTCATTTACACTTTGTTCGGTGAAGGGATGGGTTTTTGTTGTTTCGCAAGAGCAGTTTTCCTTGTTCTTGCGTAGATACGAAGAAACAGTGAGAAAAACACGACAAGGATTCCTAAACCTCCGATTGCAGAAACAGGATGTCCGTAAATAAGACAGGATAATAGAATTGCAAGCGCTTGTCTAGTTGTCATGATAATTGTGAAAATAACAGGGCCGAATTCTGATATTGTGTAAAATATAAATAACTGTCCAACTGCTGAACAAATCTGTAAAAAAAACAAAGTAATATAATATCAATAGATAGATAATTAAAAAATGAATGTACCGTAGTCAAGTTTATTTTTTCTACCAGTAAAAAATTGATCATTTAAAATATTCGAGAAAAAAGATAATCACACAGCAGCGAACACAGGTCTACTGAGGAAGGGAGGCCACAGGAAACAAAGCTGCTTATCAAGCAGTAAAACGCAAGATTCATATATATAATTGAAAGATAGAAAAATTTTATTTACGGAACTTACTATTATTTTCGTGACTATTGTAAGGTTTTGCACATTATCTAACTTACATCTCTTACTGAAAATGGATATATATCAGAGATTTTTGAAAAGGATCGTGAGATAATGATCAAAATACAAAATTAAAATTCCTTTTCTGTAAATGAATTCTGTAAATGAATTTTAGATGGATGGGATAGTCCAAAGTCCAAACTGTTGGCATATTGGCCGAATATATTGATTTCAAAAGACATAATATTTAACTTACCGAGAGAATTACTGAATGCATTGCAAAATCCAAATGCGACGCCATGAAAGCAAATGCTTGAAAAAATCCTCCTTGTTCTAATAATGACACGGATGTGAACAAACATGAGAAAAGATTTACTCCAAACATCATTTGAAATGATGACATTTTGTACGTCTTGAAAAGCTGGCCCTGAAAATTAGTATGCATGTTAAGTTTACCATTGATTTGAACCTATAATTTAAATTGCCAAGATCAAATAAGCAATCAAATTTACAGCCTGAAATAGTAAAAAAAATAGTGAAGTATACCTGCCAATTGGAAGTGAAGCTGTCAAAGGCCATGTATCCCACCATGAGTATAAATCCAGATAGAACAACAACCCCCGCTGCATCATTTGTAATATCTATAGCATCATGTGCTGCATGCTTACCAGATTGCCCTGAAAAATATTAAAAAATGTTGCATTGCTGCATTTACTTAGGAAAGGTATTTCCATGGTTTTTTTCCATAGCATCTTATATTCAAATTCTATCAAAATTTAATTGTAAAGATTAATTCATTGTTTACAGAATGAAATCATATGAGTATAAACCAATAATATTAAAATTTGATTGTTATTTATTACACACAGACTTCATGTAAACAGCACTCTCTTTGAATGGTGAAGATCCCGGAACAAAAATATTTACATAGTTCTGATTGATCACTCTGATACAGTAACAGAGAAAGTGCCTGCAGATCATGAATTTAACTGGCGCTACAGTAGCATATTAGAAATGCATGACACGTCGTTAATTCGATCGACATTACATGCCTTTAGGGTATTAAGTATACTGCAATACTAATTTCAAATAAGAGAGAAATTGCAACACAGCTTGATAGGTTACTTTCCACCTTTGAAAATATTGATTGTGAATTTAATTCATTTAAAGTCATATCTATTCTCTGCTCTTAGTTTAATTCTTCAGAAATCTTGAATTATCAAGTTTATTTTCCTACGATACAATATTGATAAGCCAATAATGAATATCCACAATCTTACCTTGTGATAATAAAAATAAACTTATTCCAACAGAGAGCATTCCAGCAGTAGCCCATTCATAAAATTCATAAGTATTTCCTGAAACTACTTTTCCCATCAACATTACAGGAATAACTTTACACGCTTTCCCTAAAACCTGCATAAAATGAATAACAATAAGCTCTTAAGTGGAGTTTCTCAAATTAGGTGGGAACAGAGCAGTTTTCAGGGGTTCATGATCAGATGTCTTCACAAGGTACCATTCACGATGCTACATTAATTCAAAATAGATTGACTGAGATTTATTTGAGTTTTTTTAATTGTAATGCATTAGCTCACTTTCGTTGGCAAGGGGCCGCAGGTGTTGCGAATCATTAAAAGGGTCACAGAGAACCACTGCTCTTGAGCCCAGAACAAATTTTTTCTCTTCTAGAATGGGTCGCTTAAAAATTCTAATTAGTATTCTTTACATATTATAAATTATAATTACCTGTGTTGGAAAGCTGACATATTTTAAAGCTTCATATTGGAACCAGCTACTCATTATATTAGAAATTGATGAATAAGAAAATTTGTGCAATGGACAACCATGCCTAGGTTGCCTTGTAAATGTGATGTATAGTCCTGCGACAATGAAGGCCAGCGATCTGAAATTCAATTACTTTTCAATAAAATAACGAAGAAAGAAATTTAAACTATTAAATTCCTTAAAATGATCAGAAGATATATTATAAGAAGGAGTAGTTTGGAGCAAACGTTGTTTTAAATAATATTCATGAAAGGTCATAATGATAAGGTCTTATATGAGAGCGTGAAATAATCGGGGAAAAAAATTTGAAAAAGATCACTGAAGTTCCAAGAAAAAGGGAAAATGAAAACTCAAAGATGGAGATAGAATCATAGTGAAATTGTAACAAGAAATGGAACGAACACCTCAAAAAAAAACAACTAAGTTTATAAGATTAGTATCTCAAAAAATGAAGTTATATAAGCCTGGGTATGATCAATACGTCCTATCGTCTCTCATCTCCCCCAAAATAAATATAAAAATCATTTTCTTAGAATAATTTTCATGTATCAGAAATAGAGTATTTGTACTATTACTGGGCTGTCAACGTTGCATATCAGTGAAATCAGGAATAAATTACCGATTCACAAAGACTAAAAATTGTGAATTTCCAAATTTTTCTCCTGGTGTATCATCAGTTTTACCATATTCAATTGTCATTATCCTCTCTTGAATAACACCCCATGTCAAATATGACACCTGAAAAGTAAATATAACAGGTTAAATTAAACATGAAAATGCAGTAATAAATGGCTAAAATATCTAAAACATCTCAGAAAGAAACAAGAAATATTACGGCTGGCCAATTTCTTTGGTCCCTCAACACAATTTAAAACATTATCATAATAAGCAAATGTGTCACCAAATTACAGCCAGGTTCATACAGATATAATTTTCCGGGCTGTTGCATACTGTCCTAACGAAATGAAATATCAAAGAAAATTAAAATGCAAATAAACAATCAAGATTTTGGTTATAGGGTACAAAAGCGATTAAACAACGATCATTTATATTTTCTGCACTTTTATATCACACACAATAGTACCGGTACTTCATTGATTTCAGTCAGTCACTGACTAATTCGGCAGAGAATCAAGGAGAGCCTTGCTATAATAGTCATGGAAGATTATTATATATTGTAGTTTTCAAAAGGCACAGTCGCAAGCAAGTTTATATGCCATACCCTAATAATTGAATACTGTCTATCAGGTAATAGAATACAATTTACAAGGTAAAAGAAATTTACCACTGACATCTATATACAGTGGTGGGATTCAATTTTTTGTCAGCGGGTTCCATCACAAAAGTCATATTTTTCAGCCGGTTCTGTTACAAACAGAACATTGACAATAACCAGTAAAGCTAACCGGTTCGCTGATCTCATAAAAAATTCTGTGAGACGGTTCTATAGAACCGATGAATCCCACCACTGTCTATATACAACTGACGTCGGTGAATTTTTGAAAAAAGTGTGAATTCATAACAGTAAGCACAATATCTGAGGAACAATTTTAATAAATTAGTTTAGTCTGGGGCAGCTAGTATAAACGAAATACTGACATTGTGATGCAGAATAAATACCAATTTCATAAATCGCAAAGGCTCATTTTTAAGAAATGATCTGTATCACTGAGTTAGCCAATATCTTACTCCATTTGATATCCAAGACAATAAAATGTATAGTCTACAATAATCTGCTCATATAGTTCCCAGAGTAAGTCAATGATCACCAATGAATCCAATAAAAAGAAAAAGTAGTCATGCCTGGCAAACGCACCTGTAAGCCAACAGCACAAAATGCTAATTTGATCCCACTGACGAATGTTGATGGTTCTCGAGTTGTTATGTTCAAAGGAGCCGGCTGGTCTGTTGTCTTGTGTTCACCAACTTCATCTCCAAATACACACGTTTTCACAACAGGAAAGCATATTCCACTGCCTAAAATATAGGTATGCATGCTGGTTATTGACAAATCCTTGCACTCGGGAAGTTTAGAGAGTTGCTCCAAAGACTGGGGTTGTAGGACAGAAAAAATAAACTGGACTGCCACCAATTTATAAACAACTCAAGTTCGTACAGCGGTGTGTGCAAGCATTCTTTAACTCTTTGTTTATAAGAATATCGATTCGATTTCAGAGCTCTTGTCTGACTTCTACAGTAATATCAATGAGACTTAAACAAACTCAAAAGTCCAATTTCAGACTCGGCAAGTTTGAAATGAGTACTCCAGCTTCAAAATAATAATAAAAGTCCTGCTAAAGACAGAAAGATGTAAACATGGAAGGATGGGTTATGTTGACAACTGTAAAAATACTGAAATACAGGAAAAGACAGCAATATATAGAATACAGCTTCAAGTAAATAAGATACGATTGGAATCACAAATTACCCTTTTCTTTATAGTTGATTTTTTTGAGATATTTTATCAGAAGTGCTGCAGGAACCACAAGAGTTGCATAGCCAAGTATATTGATAAGTAATCGCACAGGCCAAACATTTGTTTCTCCTTCTGCTGGAATAGGTGGGCCTTGCACCAGAGATACAAAAACAGCTGCCAAAACAGAGGCTATTTGAAGCAACCTCGATTGCATGGTGCAGGTAGTGACCGAGACGTGCTTATACAATATTCTGAATATTATTACATTAATACCTAAATGCAATTAGCCTATTATCAGGCAGTACAAATCTAGATATGAAAAACAATTACAGAGTTGACAGAAAGGCGAAAAAATTGGGGTTTCATTCCGTACCACAATCGTTTCATATGTCATTCTAAACCCCCACCTGACTACACCATCCAAAAATTATATCACAACCCAGTGATGAAATGAATTCCGCTAAACCTGTATGTTTGTCCAAATTGCGCAGGCGATTAACTGATGTCGAGCAAGCTATTTTTCTCGTTTTAACGATCACGATATGAGAGAGATCGCTGGCATTAGTGAGTTTGTTATTGTCGACATAACAATTTTTGCATATGTCAATCCTAACCCTCAGCATCATCCAAAAATTATGTCACTAAGAGTAGACGTCAGTGACGAAATAAGGCCCTTTAAACTATACGAACTGTCATCCAAGACGTGCAGACGATCACCTGAAATTGTGTAAGCTACGGTACCGGTATTCTTTCGTCGCAACGACATGAGAAAGATCGCTAGTTCTTTATCATCGGCGCAGATGACATTTCGGGTAATAGCACTGTAGTACCCAGTACCGGTACTGTAGTACAGTAGTAGGTACCGGTATGCTTTCTGACTTTGGCAAGCTCTATGTGATTGTGACGTCGTAGTGACATAATTCAGTAATTTTTGGATGGCGTAGTCAGGTGGGAGTTAGGATTGACATGCTGACATGTCAGCATGTGCAAAAATCGTTATGCTAGGCCCATTAGAATGACTAGAAGAACGGGTACAAAACCAAACGAGAACCCATGTCTGCATGTGCAATTCCGCAATTTAGAAACAGCGGAGTCGGCTGCAAAACATCCTAGGACGCGTGCAAACGCACATCATTAGCGTGGAATATTGCGAAAAAATATAGAATATATGAGTTACAGTTAATCACGGACGTTCCCTAAGGCAGTCAGGTATTCCAGCTAATGAAGTGACTTCGTGTATTTTTGTTTGGGTCATAGGTCAATTGACTGCTGCGAAAAAAAGCTATGTCAAATATCAACTTATTATCAACCAGATTACCCTCCAAAAACAGTTTAAAATACATTTGTGTTGGTGTGTTGCTGGACTGAAATTGTATAGTAGCGGTATGATCATGTTTTTCCTGCTCTAACGTAGCATGCGATCCACTAGCGCAAAATTTATTTAGTTTATTTCGATAATATTGGCCTATCGGCAAGGTGTCAATGGTGACGTAACAATTGAAATCTTGGAAGCAGCTCAGACATTTTTCACCCAGACAGTGTTTCAGTCGTGGTTTTAAACATTAGCTTGTTTTCGTTGTCTTGCTGGTAACTTTTAGTTGTTTTTGAAAATTGGGCATAAATCAAATAACCCAATATTTGTTTTACCTTCCAAAATGAGGTGCAATAATCAAATTTGAATTCCGAGTTAACTATGGACCTTTACCCAAGCATCGACTTCCTTGTTTCCTTCGTGACATTGGCCAATCAGCAAGATGCAAAAAGTGACGTAACAATGCTCCCTTTTTGCATCCGCTCAGTCACTTTTCTCATTCAGACTGATTTCCTTGTTTATTACCTTAACGCATAATCATAACCAATAAGATTTAATGCAATTTCTGCAGCCGCTCAGACAGATGTTCAAGCAGGATTGTAAACATTGACTCGTTTTTATAGTTTTGCGTGTTATTTGTCAGTTTTTAGTTCTGGTTCCAAAAATAGTTGTATAACTTAATTTTCATTATGCCTTACGTCATGGGTCGGCAACAGACGGCCCGCGGGCCGGATCCGGCCCGCAGAGCAATGTAATCCGGCCCGCGACTGAATTATAGTAACAAAACAGCTGTTTTGACGATTATATTCTTTACGTAACAGATTTATTTTGTGACACGTGTAGACCAAAATATATTAAAACCTAACAAGTATACAATTCACAATTACGCGTTTAATGAGCCTATAATTTAATTATATATAATTGGACAAATCGCAACAAAACGCAGACAAGTTGATGCTATGCGCCAATGGGTTAATTAATGGCACCGAAAATATTTTAAGGGCGAGTCTTCGCGCGCTGATTGAAATTTAACTTCTACTTCTAATCTGTGTGACAATGTGTGATTCATCAGCCATCCGTTCGGTTTTTAATTTTCTAAAATATGTGCGGCCCGCCAATGACTTGCAGCCTTTAATTTTGGCCCGCGAGCTACAAAAAGTTGCCGACCCCTGCCTTTCGTGGAGCTTTATTTTAGTTGCAGTAATCAAATTTTAGTCTAACAAACGATGTGATTAACTACACAAAAATTACTGAATTAGCTATCAGTAGTCCACCTGTAAGCGGCACGTAGTTAGATAATTTTTTGATAAAAATTGATGGTTACAAAATTTAAAAAATGAAAATTTTTTCAATAGGTAAGTACGATATAGGAAGAATTTTTTAAGGTATATCACAAGTTTACGTAGAAACATGTAGATATATCATATACTAAAACGGACCCTGTATTGTATATATTGAATTAAAATAATGTTGTCCGCTTGATATGTTTGTTTTTTTGATTTTTTCAAAATTTTTCATATAGATGTCGGCTCGATTTTATTGTGTCGAATGTAGATTCTGCACAGTGGTTATGCTGGTGCTGCCATTCAATTAATCCTTCTTACCGTTAAACCCTTCATCCCGCTGAAGTGGAAATCGCCCTGATAGCAACCGAAAATACAACTTCCAATGGGAAAAGACATTTGTTTGGCTCACTAAATGAACCGATGGCTTTACATCAGCATCAGTATTGTGCCAAGGGCCTCAAATCTGACAAATTATGGGGATTTTGTACTTGGTAAAATTGTTGGATTTTTTTGGCTTTTTTGTGTCTTTATTTGATCGCTGGGATCTGGCAACTCTGGTTGAATATGCCCTTACCTATTATGAGTGTTGCCAACTATTCTGGCGAACTTTCACAAACGCTATAATACATTAGTATTTCCTGTCGTCTTTAACTTACAAACTTCTGTTGACGCCATCAATGCAAAAAAAAAATGAGGTATAAAATCTGTATATTTACTTTTATGTATTTAATTAATTGATTCTAATCATATAAAATAAATCATACGAAGCCGCATGATTTATAGTCATTTACTCTTTACATAATCGCCCTTCGGCATCTTTCTGCTAAAACTGTTATTTCAATTTCAATTATTTCATTTCTTGTGATCCATGTATGAATGGAATACTGCCCAAGTATCGACTGAAAAGCCAGTTTTTCAAACTCAAGATGGCGTCAGTGGCAATTTCTGGAAACGGAAATGTGTTGTCAATACATTCAGGAAGCCGTGTCGCCTATTGCGCGAACTAATCGAAGATATACGAAAGGAAATTATTTCACTTATCATGACGTACGGGTATACCAAATAGAATACTATTCTTGGCAAATGGAATGAACAATAAAACATTTCTGATATGTATTGTCAAGATACATAAATGTTACATGCAATGTCTCACATGTGATATGGGTATTTTTCAAAATCTGCACCCAAATGTTGCTTCCATTTACAAGAACACCACCACCAATATCTTCGGTGGACTAAAGGTTTCATTAAGTTTGGATTTGCAATAAATTTATTGGTCTCGTATCATTCTACCGCTGTTCAAATACCACTGTGGCATCTCTGGCTCTATGTTAACAATCGGCACGGCGACGAGAAAACAGTTAGTCGCATCGCCGATCACCGATCGTAAATATTTGTCGTTACTTATATATTATTTAGTGTTTACGTTCGGAATAGCAGCGACAATATATACGATTGAGGTAGCATACTCGTTTGTTCATCACTAGAATGACAAATCATAAGGCATATTATTCCTAACCTCATGTAATTAGCTTCATTTGGGCTTAGTTGGACTGAGAACCGGAACCACGTGCTAGACTTCATTGGTTGAAGAACATCCTCCTTAATCTACAATTCCTTCATTACCGAAAAACCGATCCGACTTTTGGAATTACCATTTCAACTAGTATTATTGGACACAAAGTGGATCGTTTTGTTGATTATGTTGTTGTTTTTGTTAGTATTTTATTTTTTGTTAAGAACGATCGCTTTTCTTCTCAACTTCTAGATCAATTGCTTTGAAATTTTTGTGGTTAGAGATTATTGTTGTCGGTAGAAGGCTATTACTTTTATTTCTTCCTAAATTCCCTACGATTTTTTTTCTTCAGAGCGTGACGTTTTGATTTTGCGAAATTACTGCTACCGCTCAGACTCACACAGATCTCAAACTACTTGCAAAATCGATTCGAAGTTAAGGCCAAACTTTTGCAAGTAGCATTAAGCGATGGTTGTTAACCTATACTTTACAAAACCAAACTCCATATAGTGAGGAATAGTCGGTAAATAGTTCATTTTTGTTGTTCGTTTATTTTATTAAAAAATGGCCGTCCATGAAAGAAAATGCAGAAAAAGACTTCTATTTTTCGACATCATAAACAACTAACGTCAGTCATTGAATAGTCCAAACCATCTTAGTAACCATCGTAAACCAGGTTCCTTTTTGCGACACTCACCTATAACTGCTAATAGATTAGGGACAATATTTCGTAGAAAAAAGAAGAAATTTTACTGTATTTTCAAACAACTTTAATATAGCTCTAATAATTTAAAAAATCATCCGAGAAAACGTAGAATATTTTTCTCATCATTTGACTGAAAACGATATTTTGAGAAAATGAAACAAATGTTTTTAAAACAATATACAAAAGTGTTTTTTTCAGCATTAAGTAACTATTGCGTTGTCGTAATGTGATGCTCTAGCTATTCTTAGGAATCAAATTATTAGACAGGTGTAGTTTATCTTCTATCAAAGTCCGTGTTGCATAATATTTTATATCTATTAATTTGAGTTAAAAACTGTAAAGATATCGTAAATTCTTCTCCATTTATTGGATGTTGCGGAAAAGTGCAAAAAGGGTTGTAATACACAAGAATAGCGTTGATCCCAAGACAGATTCGGCCCCAGATGTGGTCATCTCTGCTGCGGTGGTGACGTCTCCGGACTGTGCCATGACGCAATGAAGAAGTGCTGTGATATAGAAATTATTAATAATCGAATCTTCTTTGCTATTACCATCTATTTTTGTTTTGAGACATTTAAACTTCGACGGCTGCTTATATGGGGAAATATTTATAGTGAAAGTCGGATCGACCCATGATGAAAAAACACACGACTTTGAATAAATAACTGTACGAAACCCTAATGTTAACAAAGGTCTTTAACTGTTGGGTTATTTCTCATTTAAAAAGCTCAATGTAATAACTATGTAGAATTTTGAGTATTTAATATATTGTACAGTTGATGTTTTTTCCATACTTATCCTATAATTGATTTTGTAGTTTAAATGAATAGCAACAGCTGAGTAACTTTAGTGCTATTTTGAAAAACAACCAGTGGCATCGTTGAATAAGTTGCACTTCCTTTTTACATTATAGTATTCAGTCATTTTACTCTAATATTTTAGTGATTTGCGTTTTGCTTCAATTGTGAAATTTGCATAAATACTAGGACTACAGACAATAGCTATAGAATCATGTATGAAGATGAATAGCGGTGAGTCATTCCAGCAAAACCCCATTAAACCATAACATTGTGATAAACTTTGATGTATAGACAACGGAAGCATTATATGAGTTCGTTATGCGGCTATAATCGTAAGTCATTGCACATGGAACTGTTTTCTCAGTCTATATAGACCATAAGAACAAGGACTCGTTGAACAAATTTTATTTAGTCATAGGAAGAGTAGTTTCGCGGCAACCGTTTTTTTTTTAATAAAGCGATCGAAAACCCTATTTAGCGCGTTTTGTCAAACATTAAACCATGAAACAATAAATAAAACACATTGCTGAATCTGGGAATTTTGTATTTGTGTGGTTTTACATACGAATTGACCGAAAATAGACAGTACAAAGTTAAATTCATACAACAGCGCTTGACGGGGTGTGTATAACAAATTTGGAAGTCTATGCATAATTTATATTTTGTATGAATCAATAGGTATAGTCTTTCATTAAGCGTGTCATTTGAGTTCTCGTGATATTTTATAATATAGTTTGAATAAATGTACCAATACAAAAGTTTTTTGTGACTGAACTACTAAAATACCACATCTTGAAATAATTTTCATCGTAACAATAGGACATGTACAACTAAAGGTACTTGTATGGTTCAAAAAGACTCGTTTCTTGTTTGTCATGGTCTATCTTTTTTTTTTTTTTTGTTACATCTTAGGTAAGGAGGCGGGAGTGGGTGAGGCTTCAAAGAGGCTAGGGATTTAACCTAGCAGCAAGCTATAATGTCCTCACAGTTATGCGATACAACAGCAATCGCCAAAGCGCAGAACACTTTTCGATACATAAACCTACAAACTAATATTGTTGTTGAATAATTTTCATACTGACACCAGTAATCTTTCGGTAAGGGTAGTTCAATTTCAATATCAATTTGTAAAGTTGATGTAATAATTATATTTAAGTTAAACATACATACACCCTGTAATTGTATAAAATAATTTTACGCAATTAAGAGAAACAGGGCTTAATTCTAGTCCAATCTATCTTTACTCAGTTTTGTACGGACTGTTCAAGTAACCACCAATTTTACCGTCAACGCCCTATTTTCTTCACGGACATGTCATTAAGTCGCCACCGCCTTGGGCTAATTCCATATTGTATGTGTAATTATGATTCATTTACTGAAATTAAAGCTGAACTCAAAATTTCATGTTCTACTAATACGTGATGTGATTTTAGAATAGAAACTAGTAATTCGACAAACATAGTTTTAATTTCCTTTTTTTGCCAGTGATGTTCATCTAAAACGAATGAGTAATAGAGTGAAACTAACCGAATGCACTCATTGAGTTTGAGTAGATTCACTCACGTTCAGTAGATGGTTACTTTGGCACGCCTTCAAGCAATATTTAAAATGCCGAATCCAGATAAAAATGTTTTGACATCTCAATCAGGAAATGAGACGATTTAATAATCGCCATTTCGCCGTGTATAGTACCATAAATTTTTTGGTTGTTTAGATTTGAAGTTCAAGTGAGGGTGAGTCACATACGCGTTCACGGTATTCCCAAATTAGCCAATCATGACCTGTGCTTCAGGCAAGGTTTGAGTTCGATCTCGAAAAACAGGAGTGCCAAATAGGTTATTGCTTTATTTGTTATTTCCGATGCGCGAAAGCAGTAAATTATTTAAAGCGTTTGTTCAAAGCACTCCATCTTTAATTGCCCTTACTTTCCGAGGTAGTTGAAAATGCAATGTCTCGAAATATTTCCACTGCTTGGAAATTGGAAAATTACTTTTATTCAAATTTTAGTTTTGTAATAGTATATTGCATCATTCCAGCTTAAATTTTTGATTTGATGAATGATATTACCTAGGTGACAAAATTTATCCAAGGATCATACTTAAACAAAGAATAAGAAAAATACAAATTAATAAGGGACACGCCTTGTCATGTCTCAACATGTTGTTTTATTCAAGTGTTGGTCAACTGGATTTTCATCTGTTCTGTCACTTTATCTTCACCGGTACCCATTCATTTGAAGTGCAGATTAAATATTCTTATTAGAACAACGCAAAGTTTGAATAAATATATATTATTAACATTTACTATCCTTCAATATACATATTCAAAATGATATTCATGTTTATGTATGTGTAGACTGAGTGTGTGATATGTCATTTATAACAACGCGAGGTAAATATGTTACAATTGTTAAGGTAGTTGCTAGGAGATAACACATTTATTTTATTGCTATTTGTGAAGCCGTCAAAGATCTGGGAGAATTTACGAACATTAATTTTTAATGGCGGTGGAGTAACAATGCTCATGCCTACCGAACACAATGTGAGAACACGGTGCAAACTTTTACAAATTTGAGCAACATTTAACGGGTGACTTTCTGCGTGCTAAAAAGACGCGGTCACTGAGCGGAAAGTTTTGTCTGATTGAGAAATTATATGCCAACAATAACGAGGAGAATTTTTTTTTAAATTTATAGTTAAAGATATAAAAATAGTTTTAAAGATATAAATTGTAAACTTTGCGTTACAATACAACCAAAAAAGCATCATTGTTAAAGCAATTAAATTAAAATGGTAACAACTCACCCAAAGCTAGAAGGCAGGCTACGATGATTTTAGACATCTTGAAAATATAATTCTTCTGAAATTCTGAATTCCTTGGTTCAAAAAATACTGCCGTACGTAGATGAGGTGTGCCTGGAATGAAAAATATCTGGTGCTACGTATACTATATATATACAAACATTTATAGCAATTTCAATAGTTAGCTCTCGTTCTCTCGTTTTTAATAAAAAGGAGAGAGAGGCGAATATGAGCTTATTAACTCTTTTCATTTCAAAAATATAAAATAAGTAACGAAAAGCGTCATTTGTATGATTTACTGCCGGTCGGGTTAAAACATATTATAGACAAAATATGACCAACGTATGGGCCAGAGATGGAAGGTGCATCATTGTGCTTTCCATCTATTTTCAATGCAAACTCCTACGGATGTATTTCTGATTGATTTTCAAGTCCGAAGCAAGTTCAGGCATGCTTGAAAATTTTCAATAGAGCGTGTAGACATTATAAACCTACAAATTTTAAGTCTGAATTATTAACTAAAAGGCGTCACCCATAAGGCTAGACGACATATTCTTAGTAAAATACACCACACACGTAAATGCACATTTGATATATACTCAGTTATAAGTAAGTTGATTTAGTAGGTGTGATTTACTGAAGAATAAAAGAAGCACTTAATTGTCGGATACATATAAAATGCTGTTTTGAGAATTCACTGAAATTAATATATGGCTAAATAAATAATAATGCTTAAACGATAAATATAGTAACATATTTCTTTAGTTAACCATCGATAAACCAGATGTCACCTTCCCAAACTCGTTTTCGTCTTCAGCGTCACGAGGCGAAGCCGTGGTGACGTCACGTGATATTTTCCTGAGTATTAGAGCGGGAAAAAGTCGTTTCCTCCAATTGATGACATAAACCGAGTCACTGCTCGAACGAAAATAAACTCTCATGAAGTATAAACATTTTATTTATGGGTGAAGTTTGTTACAAATATTTTCGTGATATTTGTGAAAACATTCATTGCGGAAAATCCCAATCTTTTTTACTAAATACTTTAATCAGTTGATTGATTTTGAATTGCGTGTTAAAATCATTTTACCATTTGATGAAAATCCAAATTTATTGTCAGAATGCGAAATTGTTATGGTAAAATTCAAGCCACCTAGTTATGATATTGTAATCATTGAATCAGGTCTCATAATAAAAATTACGGTATACAAGTTTTCATTCGTAAAAATAACTGTAATTTCAATGTAACTTCTTGCTGAACATCGCAATTATTGTCAGAGAAGAAGCGAATTGTCTCACCATAATAAAATTAATAGAAGAGCGACTGAAAAAAAAACACTTTACTGCAATGTAACAGTCGGATATCCAATTCTGATGAATGCGCTTTTCGGAGGACAACCGTGAATGCTTTCTGATATATTTATATTTTACATGCTGGGGTGTTATATAATATAAATTGTTAGTTCAACATAAGAACATGAGCGAAACGAAACCCATTTTAAAATTTATTTCAGAGTCAATTGCGTTATAATAAGTTATATGTATTGATATGTTTCTATTTCATAATGCTGAAATTTTTGTAGAAAGTAGTGATTTTAAAACACCCATGTTACTCACTCGTGATCTTTGTAACATACTGACATGAATACGTACGATGTGCATATGCGTAATCTAATAATCAAAAATATACGTGCTCAGTTTTAAGTACTCCGCTTTTCAACTTCGCTTTTTATAAACACGTATTTGACTAGAGTATAAGATGTCGTTAAATAAATCCCAGCATGTTGTACAAATTATTTGATTTGAAATAATTATTGAATTATTTTAGGTTTGATAGTTTGTAAAATTCGAAATACTTTATTTTACGACGAGAAGTTTATGAAATGCAATTATTTCTTTGAGCAACTTTGATAAATCGATTCACATCCAACTATTTAAAAATGTGGAATGCGTACTAAACAGATGTTATATTTTCCCTATTAAATCCAAGTATGATCCATATTTGTGACAGTCGTTAGGGATTAGTTTACGTACTGCCAAATCTTGCAAAAATATTTCATTACTCAATCTTATATATGAGTCAACTAACGTACTAGAATAGGGGGAATGCCAGTCATACTTTGGAAGTGACGCGAATATTTGGGTCATAGGAAAGGATACAACAATTTCGTTTCATGGAATGATTACCTCGGCCATGATTTAACGTATCTAATATCCATCATTACACGATTAATTACCAACTAATCACAACAAGAATAGATTAATTAAATGGATTTTCGACAATTTTGAAGGTAGGAAATCATTTCATTTTATCGATTTCAGTTGTTATCAAATAATTTGAATATAAAAATATAATTTTATCTTCATTCGAACTGATATTTCTCAAGGTTTTTACTTGGTTTTACAGGAAGTAGTTTTATACAAAGTGCATTTTCATATTTCTGGGTTTCAAATTTGTAAAAAAATGTATTAATGAATTTTCACATGTAAAATTATAACGTAGGAATCTTGTAGTAATATACTTCAGAAATATTTATTTTCATAAAAACTGAACTGAAGTTTCTCAGTATTATCGCAATGTGGTAGACTTGTTTGTGTGAGTCTAAGCAGATGTATTACGTTTTCCTGTCAGTCTGCTTAAGTACCTGTTTGCTGTTATCTCGAACTACCATTGACAGTATCTTGGTTGGGGTCCGTGTTGTCTTGACAACGTGTTTGTCTTCCAAAATAATACTACGTTGAAATATTTTAAATATGCTTTTTATTTACTTTTGTGTTTAATACCAAACTTATTTCTAGGCTTCTTTCAAGCACAAACAATAACCTAGAAGAGCATCCTCAAACATCGCATACTCTAGCTCAAACCAAACGTAACTCTGAGTTCTTACCCCTTAGAGACAGAAATATGACATCACCTTACTGGATAATTTATTTAACTTTTACGCAATTTTGTAACATGCATGATAAATTATACTGGAATGATAAATTATCCACAATTTATTTATAGTTCTGTCTTAGAACACTCTTAACCACTAAAGTTGATTATGAAGCTTAGTTATATATTGTTGGTAACAATTATATTATCCTGTATATTATATATTACAATGCTATTCACTATACATGATTACCTAAATACGTTACCGACGTTCAACATAAGATATTTCAAATTAGTCTTGTTAGATTTAACAATATGAAACGTTTGTCATCTGTAATAGTTTCATCAAAACAAAACTGTGTGCATGAAATGCTTTGTAAAAAGTTTTCGAAGCGCGTTTATAACCGAATATATAGGTAATGGGACGGTCACCACACACAATAAGCGGTCATAGCGCACCTTTATAGGCTCCGCTAAATCTAGGTGTTTATTACTAAATTTGGTCATGTTACTTTATAATCATTTAGATAGAGGCTATAGGGAATTCATTCTGAATAAGGAATACTAAAATAAATATACTTTAATTGGATATAAGTTAATGAAATGTGAGGACGAGCTGTTTCTTTCTTTCGGCTATTATTCTTAACTTTAACCATACCGGGCCTCGCATTATCCATTTCGCATAGAGACCCGCATTAGTTAAAGGTGGCCCTGTACATATACAAATACAATGTTATGCCAAGTTAATTACTGATTTACTAAGTTTCTTTTATAGCATCATGAGACTTTCTTTAACCTACTCCAAAATGTTCAATTTGAGTACATGGGAAGAGAACAAACAAAAGGCGAATAAAATAATAAAATTACACTGTTAAATATTAATACACCTGGTTTTATCTGAAGTGCCATCATCTGAAAAAAATTATGAAGTTACGCCCACGTTGGATGTAGTTCGGTAAGTCGTAAATTAAACATAGCATTTTGGGTGATGGTAAATTTCTAAGCAACGAATTTATATGCTTTAAACAAATCCTTTTGTATAAGGGAATAATCGAGTAATGTTGAAAAGAATTATTAATGTCGTACACATTATAAGTTTAAATTGCTGCAGAATGTCGGTTTATTTTATTGTTATTTTTAATAGCCCTGTGTTATACTAGGAAATACCCTCTCCTACATTACGAAATTCTAAAACAATATGAATCATTGTCACGAAATTAATATATTTTTTAAATATTTGTGAAGCAAACTTATATTTGTTTCATATCCCAAGCACTGTTTGATTTCGAAATATCTCAGTTTCAAAGAATATCAAAATCAAAAAATTTAGGAATTTTAGCTAGACGTTTGATCCACAAGACATAGATGACCAAAGTCGATCCCTAGATCTGTAGTAAAACTGAAAATTATGAACCGTCCTATTGGTTAGCCGTGTTTTGGTCCGTGACTATAAAATCTCTTAGTGGTTAATTTCTACCATATCGCAAATGTTGGGGAAAGGGTTTACGGTAATCTTTTTAATTAGTCTAATGATTATCTGGTTAGCTTACTCCAGTTAACGTTAAAGTAGAAAATTCTGAAATGCAATAATCAATAGTAATTGTGTTTGCTTTCACTTTTCCAAATAGTTTCCCAAACATGTCTATTGCAAAACGGCAAAACGAATATATTGAAAAAAAATTATCCAAGAATTTTCGAAAAGTTAGAAATTGGCTCAAAACCAGCAAAAACTCGAATCTTGTTAATGGAGATTAGTATACTTAAGATATCCATATATATGATATATCTTTTACTTTATATATAACAAAAACGAGGTACAAATAAATATCACAACAGGATTGTATTTTAGACCAAAACTATTTGGTTTACTGATTAACAATGGATTATTAAAATACTTAATCATAATCGAAAATAATTCAGTTCAAAACCATTTTTAATTGAAGAAATGGTGTTTCATTTTTAGTATTTTTAAAATAGTTTACATTTCATGTTACATTCCCATGGAGATCAAATAAAAATGACTCATTCAACTGGTATTTACAGCTATTTTTATGTGTATCGAACTGATAACTCGAGAGAACAAATGTGGAAGATTTTGCGTTATTGTTGCGACATAATCAAATTGCAACATGGATTGTCATTTGCCACGTTTCTCGGTTTCAGGCACTAGGAAAAGGGTGGATGAATGAAACAAATTACTGCACTTGTCCCTTAGAACAATCCTATGATCATGATTGTTCAATGGTTGTATCATACCTGGCATACACAGAATACAATAA